TGGCAAAAGAAAGTAGATGGGATCCTGAAAATGGGAATCCCACAGAACCAATCGCAAGTCAGGTCTTTCCTGGGTGCAGTCAATTATTACAAGTCCATGTGGCCGCGCCGATCACATGTATTGGCCCCCTTAACTGCACTCACCAGCTCCGGTCCATATGTTTGGACACATGAATGCAACCAGGCCTTTCAAGAAATGAAAGCTCTCCTAGCACACGACGCTATCAACACCTTTGCTGATTTGGAAGAGCCCTTTCATATCTACACTGATGCATCTGATTATCAGCTCGGAGCTGCAATCCTACAAAATCACAAACCAATTGCATATTGGTCAAAGAAGCTCAACAAAACCCAAATGAACTACACCACGATGGAAAAGGAGCTCTTAGCTATCATCCTATGCCTCAAGGAGTATCGAAACATGCTTTACGGTGGTCAAATCTTCATTTACACTGACCACAAGAATCTTATCTTCAGGACTCTGTCCCAATCCCGAGTGCTCCGATGGAAACTAAGCCTGGAAGGCTTTGACATTATATGGAAATATATCCCAGACAAGAAGAATGTTCTTGCCGATTGTTTTTCTCGAGTGCCCAGAATGGATCAGTGCACTGTCGGGAACAAGGAAAAGAAAATTTATGAAAAGAAGAAAGGAACAGTGGTGAATTTCAAAGAGTTGGTAGCTCAAGAGGATCCCGATGATGTATTCTATTTGGAACCAGAACTATATGAGTTTTTGCTCGCCAGTTTGACAGAAGAAGAGAGAGTTGCCTCTAATATGTCAGTTGAGGTACTGGAGGGAGTGAAAGGCCTAGTTGATACTGATCCTGGTGTAGTTGGTGAAGTTGCTGAAGTGTAAGTGGTGTAATTTATGTTGAGAGAAATCTGTTCTTGGAATTGATTTCGATTTCGATTTTATTCCATGCAAATAAGCAGTGTCCGGATGTCGAGAGGAAAAAAGCACCGTCGAGCTCGGAAAGCTCCGACGAGCTCAGAAATATAAGAGTGAAGCCCAGTAGTTAGTGCCTTAAAAGAGCGCTCCAGTAGTAAGCCCCTTATAGAGCGCTCCAGTAGTAAGTGATTTATTTATTTTATGTTAAGAGAAATCTGTTCTTGGAATCGATTCCGATTTCGATTCTATTCCATGTTAATAACTAGTCTCCGGAAATCGATTTCGTTTCACCGATCCGATTTCTCAAAAAGTGAGCAAAAAAAACAGCTCGGAGGTACTCTGAAATAGGAAATAATTCAATAAAATAGTTCCTTTTGGTTCCAGGTGGGAGAATTAACTCATTTCCTTGTTTTACAAACAACATAAACTCATTTCCTTGCATATTTCCGTTTTTAGTGAATTGTAAACTCATTTCCTTGCATTCAGCCATTTTATAAACTCATTTCCTTGCATTCTCTAAGTAATCAAAATTCTGCCGTTAAACAACAGGAAAAACCAATGCTACCACCACAACGCAGTACACCAGCACAAAACAGTCATAAATTCAACAAAGCAACAACCAAAAGACCAAGAACCACCATGGTTGGAGGACGCTGGTGATGCTACGGAACGCTGGGAATGCTTACAAGAAGGTGCGGAGGATGCTGATGCGGAACGCTGATACGGAACGCTGATACGAGTCGGCTGATACAACTCCGCGGATACGAGTCCGCGGATACGAGTCTGCTGATACGGAGGTTGCTGATACGGAGGTTGCTGATACGGAGGTTGCTGATACGGAGGTTGCTGATACGGAGGTTGCTGATACGGAGGTTGCTGATACGAGGATGCTGATACGGAGGATCCGCTTGTACCGCTGATACGAGCCGCTGATACGGAGGAGCTGGTGATACGAGTCGCTGATACGGAGGATGCTGATATGGAGGACGCTCACCAGAGAAGGTGCGGATCCATCATGGGGGGGAGTTGCTGATACGGAGGATGCTGATACGGCTTCCGCTGATACGGAGGATGTTGATACGAGCCGCTGATACTGATACGGAGGATGCTGATACGGAGGATCCGCTGATACGAGCCGCTGATACGGAGACTTGCTGATACGGTGCTCGCTGATACGGTGTCCGCTGATACGAGTCGCTATCCGCTGATACGAGTTGGTGATACTACGAGCCGCTGATACAAACCAATACAGAGGGGATATAAAACACTAGTACCATTACTATCTCTCCTATTTTCATGCTTTTATTATTATTTCTATTGCAAGTAGCACCATGGTCGTTGGCGCTTGTCTTGTATTTCAACACTGTATTGTTGTGCAGTAGCACGGTAGTTTCCTGCTGTTTAACGTCAAACTCCTAAGTGATGCATTGGTTTTTCCTGTTGTTTAACGGCAGAATTTTGATTACTTAGAGAATGCAAGGAAATGAGTTTAYAAAATKGCHRAATGCAAGGAAAYGAGTTTACAATTCACTAAAAACGGAAATATGCAAGGAAATGAGTTTATGTCGTTTGTAAAACAAGGAAATTGGTTAATGGTCCTTCCAGGTGGAACTAAGTGACAGCTTTATGTTCCGGGTGTAAAATAAGACTATTGTTCCACACGTAGAGTCCTGTAGAATCCCTACCGTTAAAAAGCTGTCACGTCTTATTTCGCACCCAAACAGGTACCGTACCGTACGTGGGACATGGTTCAGTTGGACATAGGTACGGTTACAGTAGTAGTGATTGGTCTCACGACTGAACCCTTTGATTTGTCAAGTGTGGACGTTTCCGACAGTCTGGATGCGTTAGGTTTCGACTTTTTGCGGAATTCTCTCAGTTCATCACAACCAGTGTCATGTTCCTTCTGCTGTTGTTATTGAATTTACAGAAGTTGCCAAGGAGAACCAGAAAACGAACGTCGATACAGTAACTCCATTTGGTGGACGGCAGTATTCGAGCATGAGGTTTTCTGCCGCCATCGGTGCCTTATTGGTACTGCAAAAGTCTGCTTCGTCTGGGGCGGCATCAGTCAATCCAGCTGGAGATACATTTTCACATCAATCGCATCACAATAGTAAACATTATGCGAATCAACTTCCTAAGGTTGAAGGAACAGGCGCAAGGTCGTCTAGGGTTCTTAGAAATCTCCCCAGCAACCACAAGGAGACAGAAAGCAGGCAGAAACAGCCTGAAATATCGAGCTCTCCTCTAGCGATAAGCAGCGCTTTAGTAGATCTCGGTGAAGACAAGAACTACGAGGAAAATTTTGGCAGCATATTTCTTGGTGTGTTAGGAACAATTCCAAACCCTTCTGCTGATGACACGATAATTCGCAGCCTTCAAGAAGACGCGTCTCAATTTGATCATGTGATGAGTGGCATTTGCAATGAACCTAATACCAAAGGTGTCTGCTCCAAATGCCAATATTCTTCCATTAACAACGCAGAAGATGGATTGTTATGTAGTGCAGATGTGGATTGCAATAGCTACGTTTTTCCAAACGAAGACAGCGAATATTTTTTGGTCGCTTATTTTCAGTATTTGTATCATGTTTGTAGAAGCGAAAACCTTGTCTGCGAATCCCCGTGTGAAGTTGATGTCACTACGAAACGGCTTAGCTGGAAGGATTGTTTATACATATATGATCCCTCAGATTTTTACACATATGATCCCTCAATATATGGCGGTTACACGATACAAAATCCCGAAGAGTTACTCGACCAAATCTCATTCGAGGATTTAGAAAACGAAATCCACGATGGTGAAGCAGTAGATGAAGTCTCAGTCGCCTATCTAGTCAGTAATTACAACCCGCCCAGCTTTGAAAGCTTATGCGATATCTTCTCATCAATTGAAGACGATGCTGGTAATTCTATCTGCCCAACTTGTATGTCTTCCACGATCGTGGGCGAGAAAGGTCTTCTTTTGTACAATATGGAGGTTGACTGTGACGAGTCTGCGTCAATCAACGAAGATCTAGGAAATTATCTCACCCAAATCTTCGAGGGATATAGTGCTTTTTGCGATCCCTTTTCAAAATACTCAGATTATTTCGTGTGCGAAACGGGATGTGAGGTTAACGTTGATGCCAAATCAATGATAGCGGAGGGATGCTACTTCAAAGAAAGTGCATTCAACTATATATATGCCACGCATGTTGTTGCTGCTACGACTGATACGTTTTGCAGCTATTACGGTGCTGGTGGTGATGGTCACTGCAGAAATTGTGGTATAACGTATGTGGACGAGGGTGAACAGACGAATGCGGTATACGATGTTACCATAAATAGTTGTGGAAGTTTCGAAGAAGCAATGAAGGGTGAATATAGTATGAGACATGCGTTACTCTATTCTTTTTATTGGATTTGTTATGCTGGCACTTACTGCACAGGAGCTTGTGAAGTTGATGTTGATAGTATGACGATTTCAATGAGACATTGTTCTCCTAACAACTACTCAGTATCTTTCACAAATGATGAAACCGATTCACTTGGTGGTATACCCAGCACCGTTGGATCGGACATCGTACCTGGAGAGTCTGAGATGACAACAGATGAGTCTGAGGATATGGGGGACGAGCCCGAGAATAAGACCGATGGGACTTCGCTCGTGACTATTTCTTTAATAGTCAGAGTGCCAGTCGATCTTGAAGCTATTGAAGAGAAGGTTATTGCCGTAGCTCAATCGATACTGGATGACGAGTCGATGAGTAGACGAGGGCGCCAACGAAGACTCTACAAAGTCACCTATCATCGATACTTGAAACCCGACCAAAGGCCTAATCTCACCGCAGTTGCAACGATCGTACCAGCCTCCAGCTGTCCCGAATACGACAGCTTCGATTTATCAGCCGGTTCTCAATGTATTGTTGTTTCTCTACTAGTCGAGGGCGTTGGAAAGAAGAAAATTAGAAAATATACAAAGAGTATTGAAGACTCTGTCGAAAATGGTGTGTTTGAGAATGAGTTACAAGAGGTTGGTTTAGATACGACAGTCAGAATGCAAACAAACAACGAAGCTGGGAACCTGTCGGATAATACTTTGATCGATCCATCTACAGCAACACCGTCTACAGGGGGCCCATCTTTACTAGCACCATCAGCAGCTCCAACAATGGTTCGAACAAAGGAACTCACAGTGACTCCAACAATTCATACAGTAATTGATACAGCAATGGATACAGCAATGGATACAACAATGGATACAACGATTGCCCCAACAATGGCACCAACAATGGCTCCAACGAAGGCGATAACGAAAACACCTACAAAAGATCCAACACCAGTCCCAACAATAGTTCCAACGGCGACTCCAACAAAGGCTCGATCTACGAAGACCCCAACTACGACGGCTCCCTCTGCGAACATGATATCTGTGAAGGATACATCTACAACGTCTCCATCTACCAATACCCCTGATATTTCTGATTCTCTGACATCAAATCTCGATTTAGTCGCTACCGATCCATGCCCCGGTTTCGCGGATGACTGCTCCAGGTGTGTAGCAAATCCAGCTTGCTCGTGGTGCCTCGAAACCAGTGTTTGCTTCAATGCCAATGTGGAAATCGAAGCCGCCCCGGTACAAAACGGAGACGGCTCATCCATTATTGCAAGGAAATTCGAAAACCAATGCTTCGGGACCATGACACAGTTGGTGTCGGCTTGTCCTATTAGTTCGCAGAATCCAAGTTTGGGTGAAACCGAAGGCGGTAACTACAAAGCAACGAATTTGGATGCTGACGTGGATGCGGAAGGGAATGTGGGCCCAGATACGAACGCTGATGATACATTGAAAGGCACACACGAGACAACCACCAGTAGCTCCACTGCTATGAATTTGGATGCCGCCAACGATGAAAATGTAGACACGGATGCAAACGCCAGGGCTTCATTCGAAGGCATAAACGAGACAACCGACATAGCCCAGTCCAGCAGCAGCTCTATAAATACTGCTGGGATGTTGCTGGCATCGGGGGTCTGTTGCATCGCGACTGTGCTGGCAATGAGACACATGTAGATTGACATGGACACGAATACCACCGAACGAGTCGGCACAATGATATTCTGAATTGGTGTTTGTCTTCACACTCGATACATTCAACACAGCTAATTCCAAGGGAAACTTCCTTGAAGCTAGACTTGCTGCAACTCAATTTTGAATTCTTTATATACGCATTTTAAAAATTACTATATGAAGTTCTCACTGATCTATCCGAATCATTTCTCTCCCTATCGTCTCTTGTACGTATCAATGAGAGATTCTTGTTTTGGACAAACGACCACCGCACAAGTCGATAAAGACAGGTTTTCTAGATCGCGCCCTCAGAGTGCCTTCGAATGCTTTCCTAGACCTCTGCACTAGGTGAATAGATGACTGCAAGCGTTTTAAGTCTCCACCGCGCCTCGCAAGCTGGTTTTCCCTCCAGTCTCTTTCGCGTCAGAGTAGGACGGGTACGTCGATCTCCACTGCCGAATCCAGCGTTCGAAATTTTTTATTTCTTCCTGGCGTACCATTGTTACGGAAGGGGGATCCAGCGGGTGAGAGGATCGTAGATCCAAATGATGTGCCCCATTTTCGATGACCCGCACCACGATGGTCTCTGGATCGGCATTCCGTGGGAGGCTTTGGATTCCGGCTGCTCGCCAAGGGTCCAGCTGGCCACTGGTCAAAAAAATATTGGAACCAGCCTGAATGTTGTCGCCCATGAAGGTCATCTCCTCCCAATCGGGGCGTGGCTCCACTCCATCCCAACGCTCTCGGCATCTCTCAAAATAAGCCGTCTTGTTTGGTTGGTAAGGAAGTTCAAGATCGGTGACACCATCGGTTGGCATTGGTTGGTATACTTCGGTACAGCATTGGTAACCCCAAGCAGTCCCAACCAAGTCCTCATCGCCAAAACGACGCTGTTTGTGTCCGTGTCTCATAAGGCCACGGTTCGTTTGTAAAGTCTTGTTTGCTAAGGAGGATGGCAACCAATCGAAACACGATCCCGCTTGCCCCGTGGTGTTGTAGTATACCTGCGCTGCTGCCCGGAGAGATCCTAGCGATGATTGCTCCAAAAGCAGATTTTCACACGCTACCCGAAATGGATATCCCGGCACCGGATTGTAAAACTCCGTCGGATAGGGATACCCGTATTGCACCATGGTCTCGAGTGCTCCCGATATCCACCCATAAATTTCCCTTGCGACATTCTCGGGTTTTATTTCCTCCGGGGAAGGGACATGACACAGCTTCAGCTCGTTTTTGACAATCTCTCGGCCCGCCTCGGTCTTTACGTTCTCAAAGAGATCGAACCATCCCTCGCGTATCTTGACGGGGCAAGCAGTGGAAACATTCCCGTATACGTCGGCCACGATCCTAGAAAAAGAGTTGGACTCTCTTAGCAAATGCTTCAGCGGTGTCGCAGAACTGGCAAGAGCGCCGGCCCAGAGATTGGGATTTTTCAGTCGCAGCCATAGCGCCAGATTTCCGCCGTAGCTCCCCCCCGTTGCCAAAAAAGCTGTGTCGCGCAACATGCCCCACTTTTTCCGAATATGGATCTGGAGCGTATTGAAATCTTCCATGGCTTGCTCAACTGTTAGGTAGGAGATGTTTTGGGGGGTCATGGCCGCCTCTGGTATACCAAAAGGGAAAGATTCTCCATAATATCTATGCTCTGCAAAAACCACCATGCCCTGGAGTTTCTTGGCGGCCTCCCACAAGAATCCGCTGTTCTCTAGGAACTGAGTTATTGGGGCTTCGTTCCCAGCGTAAAAAATGACCGGACTACTCCTATTGGCATAGTACTGGTCGTTGACAAAATAACGAAGGGGAAAGGTTCCTTGTTCAGTAGGTCGAAAGTTGAAGTGGTCAATGACTGCATCAAACCAGTACTCCGTCGCATTGGGATCGAAAGATACGTATTCGCCATGGGAATTACTAACGATGCGATGGGAAAGCAAGGGTTGCGACGTTATCGGGGACATCACGCTGTCCGTAGATCCCGGGGCCACTGCAGTTGTTTCCACGAACACCAGGAATCCGAGGACAAGAATTGTTCTAGCACGACGCCACATTTTCTTTGACAATGCATTGAAACGAGTGGTTGCTAGACCAGGGATGGGATGCGGCACTGTTCCTTCCGCAGTGAGTTTTGTTGGTTCATTTTGGTTTTTCGCTTCGAAAGGAGCAAGAGATAATGGGTGATTCCCAAAATTATAAATGCTAAACTATGATTTTCAAATCGAACTTTTTCAAACGCACGAAATTACACTTCGCATTTGAAAATTATCCCCTAGAATTCCTACTTATTCCTACGTACATTCCTACCTGACAAGCTCCTTCTGACTTCCGAACCATGGTGACATCCCCTTCGGAAGGGGAGAATCCTCCTCCTTGGCTCCATTCAAGCAGCACCAAAGCAATGCAACCAAGACTTTTCCAAGTATATTGATCCCCCAGCTGGTGGTGGTTTGCCACAGCCAGCTGGATCCCCTGTTCCTCCAGAAGCACCGTACCGGGTATGGTATCTTCCGGTGTTGAAGTTGTTGTTGTTTCTGACATTTGTACCGGAATGCAATAACACCAACCCCAGCCCCCAGTATTCAACCAAGACCTAGTGAAGAACAAGCCTGGAAGATATGCTACATCATACATCATACTCAGTTTAAAGAAGATTCCCCAGCATCTCCATGCAGTTCCAGTATTTTACGGACCGGAAGAAGATTCCGGTCACGACGTTGTTGTTGTTGTTTCTGGCATCCGTGCCAGAATGCAATAACACCAACCCCAGCCCCCAGTATTCAACCAAGACCTAGTGAAGAACAAGCCTGGAAGATATGCTACATCATACATCATACTCAGTTTAAAGAAGATTCCCCAGCATCTCCATGCAGTTCCAGTATTTTACGGACTGGAAGAAGATTCTGGTCACGATGTTGTTGTTGTTGTTTCCAGCATTCGTGCCAAAATGCAATAATACCAACCCCAGCCCCCACTATTCAACCAAGACCTAGTGAAGAACAAGCCTGGAAGATATGCTACATCATACATCATACTCAGTTTTACAGAAGATTCCCCAGCATATCCATGCAGCTCCAGTATTTTAAGGACCGGATGAGTTTTCTGGTCAGGTTGTTTTTGTTTCCAACATTTGTGCTGGAATGCAATAACACCAACCCCAGCCCCCAGTATTCAACCAAGACCTCCTCTCAAAGATCACAGCTAGGAGTGTCCGCTACATCATACTCAGTTTTACAGAAGATTCCCCAGCATCTCCATGCAGTTCCAGTATTTCACGGACTGGAAGAAGATTCTGGTCACAACGTTGCTGTTGTTGTTTCTGGCATTCGTGCCGGAATGCAATAACAACACCCCCAGCCGATACTGCGTACTGAATCAGTATCACTCCCACTACTGTTCCCTCCAGTTGAGTGCAGTTCTGCCTCAGCTGGACCCATCCCCAGTTCTCAAGGACCGGAAGCTCCTTTCCGGTCACGATTGTTGTTGGTTCTGACACTCCTGCCAGAAATCAACAACACCAACCCCAACCCCTAGTATTCAACCAAGACTTAGTGAAGGACAAAGCCTGGAATATATGCTACATCATACTCAGTTTTAAAGACTCCCCAACATCTCCATCTCCATGCAGTTCTAGTATTTTACGGACCGGAAGAAGATCACAGTCACGAAGTAGTTGTTGCTGTTTCCGGCATCTACAGACCAGAAGAAGATTCTGGTCACGACGTTGTTGTTGCTGTTTCCAGCATCCGTTCCAGAGAGCAGCACCAACATCCCCAGCCCCCAGTATTCAACCAAGACCTAGTGCAGAAGAACATTGCCTGGAGTGTATGCTATCATACTCAGTTTAAAGAAGATTCCCCAGCATCTCCATGCAGTTCCATGTCCAGTGTTTTACAGACCAGAAGAAGATTCCGATCACGATGTTGCTGTTGTTGTTTCCGGCATCTGTGCTGGACAACAAGACCACCAACCCTGGTATTCCCCCAGTTGAGTGCTTGCCTCAGCTGGATCCCCAGTTCTCAAGGACCGGAACCTCAGTGCTTTCTGGTCACGATGGCTGTTGTTTCCGACCTCCGTCCCGGAAACCAACAGCACCAGCTCCAGTATGCCTCAGCTGGATCCCAGCAAGTTCTCAAGGACCGGAAGCTCAGTGCTTTCCAGTCACAATTGCTGTTGTTTCCAACCTCTGTACTGGAAAGCAACAGCACGATTGTTGTTGTTCCTGTCTTATGTGGTAGACAGGAACAGCATCACCCCCAGTATTTGACCTCCTGACCAGCAGTGGCAGGGTTAGTGGATTTATTACCAGTGTCTTCTTCAAGAAGACATTCACACAGCTGCTCCTTTGGGTGGGCTCAGCTGTAATTTGGTGAAAGAAGTATGGCATTTCCTTTTTTCTTTTTCTTTTTTGCTTTTCTTTTTTTTGATTTTTTCTTTTTGACTCCATTGCAATAGATACGTACGTACAGTATCAACTGTATCAGAAGTATACGTATGATACGGAGCTCTGAGAAAGGAATGAAGGAACATACCATTCCTACATACGTGTCATAGGGTACGTTCCTATGTATGTATCGTAGGATCAATCATATTGAGGATCATAAGAGGTCCAAGATATCATTTGAGAATACCTCACGAAGAACAAAGATGTCAGAAGTCCGGAACAGAAAATATTCGTGTAGATTCAGTACCAGAACTACACAGGATTCAGATCAGAACTTTGGAACTCTCRTGAACGCGCTTGGTATTCTACAAATAATTCTAATCTTATAATTTCAATTTTCATACACACTTAAACATACTAAGAGTACACGTATTTCGTGCATCCATGTGTCCTCGCCCACTGTGGTGTCGACCTGCCTTAATTGGCTTGGTAGTGTGCGTGGCACACATTTCCTTGATCACTGCCTGTGATAGCTTGCCTACGGGTTGGGGCTGGGTAACCCCAACCTACGGGCTTAGCAGTGCTCCTTTGAAATGATAATGGCATGGTTCTCATCCATCCAAACTGTGAACCAACTGTTTTTATGTCCTCTGAGTCCAGCCTTGGGCCGTCACTGGCCTATCAGTGTGCATAGAACTTGGTTGCGTCTCCACAAAACCTCCTCGGAGGGAGGCGCCGCCCCTTGGAGCAGCTAGAAGCATTATTTCTAACAGAGGCTATGGTTCTGGTCACCCAAGTGCCTCTTCTAGTTCACGAGGTTAAATATAATATCAAGATTTTTTTTAAAGAAATGCTAAACTGCTTATTTAGCATTTTTATTAATGGGAATACAAATTTCAACAGACAGACCCCAAGCATGCCAACTCAATGCCAGTCTTTTTGGGAACTTGGAATCTTAACTATTCTCCAATGTAAAGACTAAAAAGATTGGCTTGCTACGCAAAAAGCTTACTACAATGCAAAAATGAAGTTATTGCTAGTAAGCTTGGAGTTATGTGTTGAAAATAATGTAGTAGAAGGTTTTCAACAAAAGCACTGTGGCTGTTTGCTGTTTCTGAAATAGGAATGGAAATCATTTATTTGTTGTGTATGCTGGGTATTGTTTTTGTTGTTGTTGTTGTTTGTAAGTAGAAGAGGTGTTCTTACAAATAGACTGTTGGAAGTTCTAACTCTTGAAAGCACAACATAAATCCAATTGCTTGTGTAAGACCAAGTTGAAACCAASACATTTTCCAAAGATCTCCCCTGTAATTTGTGAACAGTTCTTGCATTAGCAATATTGATTGGAAATTGAGTTAATCGAATTCCTTTGTGACTTGTTTGAGTTTGATGGGTAATTCTTGATTCATATTCTTGCGGACATCGAAATTTTGCTGTTGCTGTCATGTTTTGAGGAGTTAAAGTGATAACTTTTGAGTCTCCTTCTTGAAGGATTACCTCCATCCATTCAACTTTCTCAGCATCTACACATCGAACATAATATCCATTAATATTGAGAATTTCACAATCTTGGTACCCATTTTTCAGTTTGACTGACTGGAATGTACACATGGCTCCATTTGCTTTTGACTTTTCAACATCTATGTTGTCATTGATCATGACAGGGCTACCAACATACAATTTAAGCATTGGATCTATCCTTTTGGAAGATTTGTTTGTACCTGCAACAATGTCAGTATCTGATGTGGCAGTCAGCAATCAGTATTTCTGAAATTCTGGCATGTCTCTGTATTTTCTTTTTCTGTCTGTCTGCAGTTTTAGGTTTGATGCCTTGATTACAATGGTGTGATCTGGTAATCTCTCATTTATATTTTTTGAATGAGTTGTTCTGAGAAACTCAGAAAATATGCCATCATTTATTGCACATTTGTCTGCATTGCTGTATGTTGCATAAGCCATACCTTCAGGGAGTTTGTCCCATGGTTTTACAATTCTTGAATTGATGATTTGAACGTGCTCCTCTTTTAAGCCATTTGTTCTTAAATCATCAAGAAGCTCTCCCCAGATTGGATAATCTGTAAACCTGTGATTTGTTTTAAGTTCAAGAAATGTGTTGCTTTTTTCTCTCCAAAGATGGAAATCTTTTTTTGACAATAGAGAGTCTCCTCCCACAGGTTTGAGTTGATTATTGAGGAACAATTGGAGTCGCCTTAGCAGGAACAGGTCTTCTTTTGATTCTTACATGAGTTATCACCACAGGAGGGGAAGGAAAAGGCAGGGGATCAGCAACTTCATCAGCAGAACAGGGAGGTGAAAGAGGAAGATTATCATCACTGTCCCCTGCTGCTGGAAGGAAACTAGGAGTGACAGCAACAGGAAGATCATGGGGTGGAGGAGGGGGGAGAACATCTTCACTGTCACTATCAGCAAAAAGACAGGAGGAGGAGTAGTTTGTAAAGGCAGGATTCATGGTGTAGTTTTATGATTTTGAAAATTTTTGAATTTTGTTTTATGAGAAGAATGAGGAATGAAAATAATGGCAGGTGATTCTCAAGGGGAAAAATCCAAGATTAAAATCCAGTCTTGTGAAATTTTCAATCTTGTCAACCAGTCTTGTGAAATTTTCAATCTTGTCAACCAATGTTGTGAAATTTTCAATCTTGTCAACCAGTCTTGTGAAGTTTTCAATCTTGTCAACCAGTCTTGCAAAATTTTCAATCTTGTCAAGATTAAAACTATTATTGCTTCATGTGAAAGGTTCAGAAAAGAAAAAGCTCCCAAGACTAGACAACACATATT